AAATTAAAATTCTATCCATTTATGTAGATTTACAACCAATCACGGCAATTTCTTTGCATTCCCTAAATCTGCTCAGGTTTTCTAATCAATCGATCCTTTAGTCTAATCCACTTTCTACTTTAGTTAATGAGCAGTTGCCTTGACAAGAGTAGTCCAGATATCAAAACACACTCCTGATGGCTCAGTATTGTTCTCTATGAAAATGGCTCCCTACTCAATTGCTATGACAGAACACTTTTTGTCTCTAAAGTGGCAACATATACTGCCCCACCCCTCAACTCCAATGGAGTGGCTATTGAATAAATTCAACTTGAAATCCAATGGAGTGGCTATTGAACAAAATCAACTTGATATCCAGCTAAAACTGGATCTTTATGGACTTGAGGCTGGTCATCATATAGCTATTCTCCTTACGATGAATAATGTGGTCATTAAATTCATTAGTGAACACAGGACTTGATGGAGATGACATAAATATACATGCTTGTCTGTAAAAATATAGGCATGCCTACTGTACTCCTCTGAAATTTTTTGATGATTGCTGGCCCTGTTTTGTACAGTTACAACTGACATTAGTGGTAGTGAAATGAAAATGTGAATGTGTAGAGAGTATTTTGCATGTTAGTTGTATTTTACAGCACCTATGCAAGCTGTAGAATCGATGGGAAACATACAAAGATTCACAGGCAGACAGATGCATATACTGATAGGTAGATCAAGAAGGATAGATTCGTGGCTCTCATTTTTTCTCTCTAAGCATCTAGCTGTCACCTTATTACACTTCTTATTTCAGACCCTATTTCAATTTCGATACTAGTCTTCTTTCCCCATCCAACCGTTTTCAACACTTAGAAGATGGGGTGTAAAGCAAGCAAACACATGAGGGTTCTCTGCCTGAACCAGAGACCAAAGTCAAGGCTTTGGGACACTTCTCTACGAAGCTCTTGTGTAGAGATGGGGCTAAGCTGAAGGAAGAAAATGTGGAAAAAAAGAACAAATCAGGGGAATAAAAGATAGACGGTTGCCTGGGCTAGGTTCCAATGGTAAGTTAGTAATACAATGGAAAGTGCCTTGGCTGTAGAGTCAGAAACTGGTGGTTCAGGTACCCCTTCTATCTATTGCTTCTTACCTCTGTGACCTTTGGTGAGTCACTTCATGTCCCTGGACCTCAGTTTCCTTATGTGAAAAATGAAGTCATTAAACTAATTGGTTTCCAAGGTCGCTTCTATTTCTAAATCTATAATCTTGAATGAGAGAAGGTGGTTGGGTGAATTAGTAGGTGGTAATCAAGGGGCATCCAAAACATGGAGTTTCTGAGGGGCAGCTGGTGGAGAGAGCACTGGACTTGGAGTAAGGAAGACCTGAGTTCAAATCCAACCTCAGACACTTATTAGCTATGTGACCATGGGCACATCACTTAACCTCTGTCTGTTTCAGTTTCCTCATCTGTAAAATGTTGACAATAGACTTTCCAGGATTGCTGAGAGGATTAAATGAGATAATATTTATAAAATATTTTGCAAGCATTAAAGTGCTATATAAATTCCAGCTATTGTTATGTCTCCTTTAACCTTCAGAAGAAAGCTACCATTCATGGAATAATTAATCAATCATCAAAATAATGATTTTCCCATTAGATCCAATAAAATAGAAGCTGTGAGGGATTGGGTATTCCAAGGGGTAAAAACCAACAAACAACCCACTATTGCATTTAACACTTCCTGAACCGTGTAGATTGAGGTAATCAAATCCCACCAATGAGGCCCAACTGAATGGGATAAAAGAACAAGAAGAGAATGCTTGTGTACAGTTGTGCGGCATACAGAAAGAGCATACATTTAAATATATACGAACCCCAAAATATATGGACACAGTGTGGCATAGTGGATAGAATGTAAGGAAGGGGTAGGATATTATAAGTTCAAGACCCGTCTGGAACATATACCAGCTTTGTGTTCATAGGGAAGTGACTTAATCTCTAAGTGCTTCAGGTAAGTCTCCAAGACTAAATTACAAACAAGTTGTTGACCCAAATTAGTGGAGGGAGTTCTACTGATTAAGTCTTGTGTCTGGATAATCACCCTGTCCTCTGCGTGCTCCCCCTTGCCTCATTCGGCCGTAAATGATTCATTTTGGGAGCTCACATATGTGTGTGTGTGTGTGTGTGTGTGTGCCAGTTTCACACAGAAGTGTGATTTTGTAGGATCATAGATTCAGAGCTAGAAGGGACGTTATGGGCCATAGAGTCGAATTCTTTAATTATACATATGAGGAAAATGAGTCTGAGAAAAGCTAAGAGAATTGCATTGGGTCACACAGCCAGGAAGGGTCTGAGAGTAGATTCAAACTTAGGTCTTCCTCAGTTCTCTTTCCACTAGGCCACCTGGCTGCCTTATTGATATGGAAACTCTTGGCTTTTGACCAATGTAGGTTAGTAACTGTTATGTAATTTATGGTCATAGAGAATTGCCAAGGGGTATTGAGAAATCACGTGGTTTTCACACGGTCACAGAAGCAGCATATATTCCAGGAAGAAACTGGATCTAGGTTTCACTGACTCTGATGCTGGCTCTCTATTTACTTCAACTTGCTAACTCTCATTAGATGGAAACTTTATAGGGAATTGTGATCCTGGGTCTGTAGTGGGAATATCCCTCTTAGCCTGGAAAAATATAAAGTCCTTGGTAGAGTTGAAGTCCCGGTCTTTTTAAACTATATGCCATGTTCTACTCTCACATACTATGTAAAGGCACGCCTACAAAAGAAGGTGAAAATGGTAGGATGGTAGGATCGGAGACAGCATTTAAAAGCTAGCTAACGTGGAGGGCTTTGTTTACTTGTCTGTAGTTTTTATTTTATTCCTTATCTTTGTAGTAGGAATCCCCATTTAGGAGTGTGATTTTGTGTGTGTGTGTGTGTGTGTGTGTATAATAGTTTTGTTGGGAGCCATCTGTCAAGTAAGGGCTGGATACTCTGCAATTACTATGGAGTCTGATTGATTTGGAATTGGTGGCCCTCCTCTCCTCTTTCTCATCAGTAGGCCTTGTATAGTCTCTCTCTGTTATCATGCACATGCATTTCCATACCTGCCAATATTAAAATAACTGATGACACCAGTGACACAACATAATGAAGACCAATGGATATGCAATTCCCCAATTGTGTGACATGACACATAATATATCGCATGATATATATCAACAGAGAGGCCCAGTGGGATGAATAAAGAATATCGGGGCACCCTGAATTCATATTTTTTATTTCTCTTGTTGCAATTACAATTCTGAAGAAATTAAACACTTGCTTTTCTTGTTTGCCAATTATCTTTTTTTTGGGGGGGGTGGAGGGGAGAGGGTCAGCTTTCCTCTCTGCTCCTATATAGAAATGCAGAATCACACAAGAAACAAATTAGAGATGGAGAGTACTGAATGAAATATGGATTGCCTGTATGACATTGAGAAAATCCATGTGACAAGAGCCTCACTGCAATCAGCTCTGAAAACAGCATGGAAAATTTGTCACGTGTAGCCCTTAGCAATCTATCTCCCCTACGAGCAGGGTACATGCCAGCAATATATCTGAAGGCTGCTCCGATGATAGAAAATGAAGTGATATGCATGACCTTTAACCAAATACTGATCTGAAACAAGCCCTACATTTGGCCCAGCACAGGAGTAACTCAGAGGTCAGAAAGAAACCTCACTGTAGAATGCTTAGTCTCAACACTATTTCTCAAGCATCTCTGCATAGCCTGCATTGATCTCCTGATACTGCATCTCTATGATAGGGCTAATGACTTTTCTGGGCACTAAGGTCATCTATCATCACACTGAAAGAGTTCTCAAAAGAACCAAAGTCCAAAGAGCTCTTCTCTCAGGATGGTAATCCATTCCATAAAGCTAAACTTTTTCAAACTGGGTAGGGATCTGATGTTACTGGAAAAGTGATGCAGATAACAATCACAGCTCAAATATCTTTTTTCTTTTCATGATGATAATGATGGCAAGAGCATTAGAATGACAGGGGTATAGTTTATATAGTCTTGCTGTTTTAGGAATAAAGCTAATTGATTTAGCAGTCATATAGTCTACTTGCATGCTGGAGTGATAGGAGGAGAACCTTCCTTTTTATTCCCCTCTCCAAAATGTTGGTTTGAGTCTTACAGCTAAGTAGCCTGAGGAACCTTGTGAATTCCACGCTGTCACTGCACATGCAGACTGGCTATTCTGGCTTCTCAGTCCAGTTTGTAGGAGCATTTAAGGGCTCCTACAAGGTGGTGCAGTCTTTATGAAGTATAACACTTGTTCTCTCCACTAAGCGATTCTAATAGTTTCTAAAAACCTTTTCCATTTCAAGAGTCTGTACAAGCCTAATTTGGGTGTTGGTTCCAGGGAAGAATGTTGCTGAAGGCAATCCTTCCCTTGTCCAACCCTAATTCCACTAGATGACACTTTCCAAAAAGCCCAGACTAAAAGTTGGTACCCCTCCTCAAATAGGTACTAAAGAGATACTAGAGCTATCCCTGAAATGATACATATTTATATGTATATATATTTCTTCTTTCTTCATGTGTGTATAAGCATATATTAATATTTGTATGGAAAGAGAGGTACAATACATAGAAACTGGTGGTTTGTATATGTATACATATATATATATGTATACATATAACTGGCATTATAGCTCACATTGTTATAGCTTTATGTACCTCCGACCAGCGAGGAGTACGACCTGTCAGTGGCGAGTAGAGAAAAGCCACAAAATGACTGCCCTTGTCTCTTCTGTGTGGCTGTGACAGTCAGTGACAGAGGCAGCAGCACATGAAGTGAACTTGGAATCCATCCCTCCTTAAGCTAAGGACATAAGCTTTACAAAAATATAGGGCTATGTGCTAGCTGCCTCTTCTTCAGGGGGTTTAGAGGACCCGGGCTGAGAGAGGATAGGGATTGGGGACCATCTGTTGCTGTCTCAATTATTTATTTAAGAAATGGCTTTTCCAGCTATATGGAGATGGGGCACATGATGATTCTGTCCTCCAAGAGGACACTGATCACCAGGAATCCAAAGTACAGGCCAAACATGGTAAATCCCAGGATTTTGTTCATCCTCCATTTGCAGAGAGCTATGGAGATGATGACGAAGAGCAGCATGATGAAGAGGAGAACGATGGCACAGAAGAGACCATTGCTGCTGACTGTCACTGGTTTGAATCTGTGAATAGCAGAATATAAGAGCCAGGGCAGTGGGAGTCTGTGAGGAAACAGAAGCAGAGACAAGAGGGTAGGGAGGGAGGGAGACAAGTAGTGACCAAATATGTTTTAAAAGACTCTCAAAGGAAATGAAGAATCTCATAAGCTCATTGGAAGGGTATGTTGTTTTTTTTGATTTACTATACTGGAACTGAGTTGAAAGTCAGGGAATGAAATGACTTTATTCCTTTTTGATTGGAAGACAATTTTTTTTGTGGGGATTCAAAGGAAAAAATTCTATAGATAAGCAATGAATTTATTCTCAATCACAGCAGAAAATGATTTATGAATTTCATTTGAACTTAGCTAAATTTTCTAAATTTAAGTTTTGATGTGATTATAGAAATATAAAGAGATGATGTCACAATGAACAATCCTTATGAATACTTACTTCCAAGTTTGTAATTGGAGTAGGGCTTGGGAGGAATAGAAATTTGGTTGAGAAAACGTTGAACCACTCCTGTCCCCACAAAAACTATTTGTGTCAGGGAGTGAAGTCATTGTGAAGTAAATTTCACTCTCTCTCTCTCTCTCTCTCTCTTTTGAGAGGTAAATTTCTCAACATGTCAGGAGGCTAAGGCAGCTTTGTAGTCCAATTTGGCCAACTAAGTACCACCAAAGTAGAAGGAGCTGGGAAGTGAGTGATGAGTTAAAGGAGAAAATATTGGAGTGGCATTAGGGTATAGTAAAAAGAGTTTTGAACTTGAACTAAGGAGACCTGGTTTTAAATTTTGGCTAAATTGTTTATTAGCTTATAATCATGCGCAAATCACTTACCTTAGTGTCCTTGTCTGTAAAAAGGAGAGATACTGATACTTGTACTACCTACTTCACAGTGTTGTAAAGAAAGACCTTCTAGACCTTAATGCATTATATAAATGAGTTATTATTATTAGTTAAGCAATGTGCTATTTTCAGAGTAGCATCTTTCATTCATTCTTCTATCCATCCAAATATTGATTAAACACCCACTACACATAAATCAAACTGCTTCAAGCACTGACAGGGGATACAAGGATTGAAACAATAGTCAGCATCCATCATCTGATCATCATCTGAAGACTTGAGTTCAAATCCAGCCTCGGCTATGTGACCCTGGGGGTGTCACTTAACCTCTGATTGCTTAACAAAATGAATTCACAGGAGAAGGAAATGACAAACCACTACAGTATCTTTGCCAAGAAAACCCCAAATGGGATCACGAAGGGATGGACATGACTGAAATGACTGAACAATATCAGCTAATAGCTGCTGTAAAAATATGAAAAAATTTATTCTGCTGATGGAAGCTAAAAGAAGTTTAATAGTGAGGTGAATTCTAGTGATGAAATACATGGTGGGAATAAATAGCAAAGGCTGATTTGATTCCTGGCTGGCCTCAGGGATATTCTATTAAACCAGAACAGCCTAGGGAGCTGGGTAGGGTACTTATTCTAAATTGCATATTCTAATGAGTTATTTGAACCTATATGACAGCCATGAAATTTAGGCAGCTCTCCAAGGGACCATTTGAGCTGGGCTTGACCTACACCAGGTCCTCATTTCCTGAGGATACTCTAGTCTCTAGAAGATTCTCTCCTCCCGCTCCCTATCACTGCCCAAATCTAAGGCAACTTCAGCTCTTCTTTGGGAGATGACAGAACTGAACAGAGGTATGTGGATAGGATATTATTCAGTTTGACATCTGCCAACCAGTGCTTGATTCTAAGTTAGACCCTGGGATTCTTCTCAGTGTAGCAGGAGTCTCAAGGTATCACACAATTTGAGATTTGGAAAGGACTTCAATGGCCATCTAATCCAACTCACCTATGAAAGGAACCCCCATATCTGACAAGTGGTCATCCAGGCAGGCCATTCAATTTTTGGATAGTCTTAAATGTTAGGAAATTTTTGCTGACATTAACTCCAAATTGGCCTCTTTATAACTTCCTCCTGTTGTTCCTGATTAGGTACCATAGAGCCAAACAGAACAAATCTAACCCCCCCTCCAATGTCAGCCTTTCAAATACTTGAAGACAGTGATCATATTTCCCCTGAGTCTTCTCTAGGCTTCACACACCATCTTGGATGCCCTCCTCTGGAAATTCTCCAGCTTATCAACATCCATCTTAAAATGTGGTGGGCCGAAATGAGCAGAATATTCCAAACTAGGTCTGATGAGGATAGTGGGTAATGGGACTGCTATTGCACCTCCCTATTGCTGGCAGCTATACCCCTCTTCATGTAGCCCCAAATCACATCAGCTTTTCTGACTGCCCTATAACACTGCTGAATCATATTGAGTTCTCCAGAAACCCTCAGGTTTTTTTTAGCCCCTTTGCTGTCTGTCCCTGTTTGACACCTGTGAAAATGACTTTTTTTGGTACCCAAGTTCAAGACTTTACATTTATCCCTATTTAAGTTCTTTTTTTTCTTTTTTCTTTTTTTTTTGGTGAGGCAATCAGGTTAAGTGACTTGCCAAGAGTCACACAACCAGTAAGTATCAAGTGTCTGAGGGTGGTTTTGAACTCAGATCCTCCTGACTCCAAGGCTGGAGCTCTATCCATTGCACCACCTAGCTGCTCCATATTTAAGTTCATCTTAATAGATTCAGTCCAGTGCTCTAGCCTGGTGGTATCAAATTCACATCCTGCTGCCATGAAGGGGTCCCCCAAACCCCAGGGCTAAGCTGGATTAAAATGTAAGTGAGAAATACTTAATAAAATATATATAAATACAACATAGATAATGTTAATTTGTGGTTTTCTAAGTCAACACATGGCCTGCATATCGATTTGAGTTTGTCCCAACACTTTTCAAGATGCTTTTGGATTGTGATTTGTCATTCTCTGTGTTACCTATCCCTCCTGACTTTGAGTCACCTGTACATTTGATGAGTCTGCCATTTGTTATCCAAATCATTGATAATTAAACTGTATAGGGCAAGCTAAGGTCCCTAGGTACTGTACTAGAGACCTACCATTGACATCAAACAATTAATGACTACTCTTTGAATCTGTCCACCAATAAGAACTGAATCCATCTGGTTTGTTATCACCTAATCCATATTTCCCCATCTTCTCTGCAAGAAAGGTATGAGATACTTTATCAAAAGTTTTGCTAAAACCTAGGTAAATTATATCCATGCAATTCCAGCCATCTGCTAGTTTAGTAAACCTATCAGAAAATGAAATTACATTAGTCTGGAATGACCTGATCTTACTGAGGCCATGCTGGCCCTTTGTAGGCGTTGGTTCTCTGTCTAGATATTTGCCAAGCCATCTCTTTAATGATCCACTCTAGAATTTTCCTAGCAATCAAAATCAATTGACCTATAGTTTGCAGACTCTATTCTCTTTCTTTTTTTTGAAAATTGGTACATTTTCCCTTCTCCAATCCTGTGGTACCTCACCAATTTTGCATGATCTTTCAAATATCGCTGACAGTGGCTGAGCAGTCACATTCCCCATTTCTCTCAGGATACAGTTCTTTTAATCTGAGCTGGGCACCTTGAATTCATTAGAAGCAACTGGGGGGCTCATTTCAACTATCTGCTTATATATCTTGGGTACCAACTACCTGTCAGTCATTTTGGTTCTGTCATTTCTAGTTTAGAGGTTATTTTTCTTTACGTAGAAAACAAAAGGAAAAAAGTATTTGAGCAGTAATACTTTCTCTTTGTTGTAAGTTATCATCATCCCATCCACCCTAAATAAAAATCTTGTCCTGTTTTTGAGGCTCTGTTTTCTCCCAAGATAGCTAAAATTCCCCTTTATTGATGTTTTTACCAGCCTCAGCTCATTCTGAGCTTCAGCATTCCTGACAACATTTTAATATAACAATGTTGTTGTTTTAATCATGTCTGACTCTTTGTGACCCCATTTGGGGTTTTCTTGGCAAAGATATTAAAGTGCTTTGCCATTTCCTTCTCCAACTCATTTTACAGATGAGGAAACTGAGGTAAACAGAGTTAAATGGCTTGCCCAGTGCCACAAAGCTTTTAAGTGTCTAAGTCCAAATTTGAACTCAGGTCTTCCTGACTCTAGGCCTGGCACTCTATACACTGTGCCACCTAGATGCCTGTTATATGTAACAATGATCTTATATTGATCCTTTGTTCCACCTTTTATACATTTCTTTTTTTAAGCCTAAGTTGGTTTATGAATTCCCTGTTTACTTTCATAAGTTTCTTCAATCAAATCTCATTTTCCCCTTTTTCATTGGAGTTGTTTCCCTTTGTGTCTTTAAATTTTCATTTCTGAGCATCTCTCATCCCCCCTGGCCTGGGATTTTAGTCCTCAAGTATTTTCGTCTATGGAATCCTACCTATTTTTCCTCTGAATTCTTTGAAATTTGCTTTCCACAAGTCTAAGATGAATTCCCAGGGTCCCTCTCCTCACAAACATTAACATGGAGCAGCTCACTTCCCCAGGAGGCAGAGATCATATCTTTTCTACCTCAGGATCAGATACAGAATAGAATTTCTTCTTGTTAGTTCCTCTACCTTTTGAAGGATGGAATGATCACTAAAGCAAATAAAAAAGATAGTAGCTGTTCTGCTTTTGGAGAGAGAGAGAGAAAGAGAGAGAGAGAGAGAGAATTGAAGCCCCCTATGACTACTATATCATGCCCCTGTATGTGTGACTTCTTTCATAAACTCCTCATCTATTTCCTCTTTCTGTACAGGTGGTCTATAGTACACTGCGATTGCAAAATCATCTCTATTTCTTCCTCTGTTTGACTTTTAAACAAATATTCTCCATCCTGTTTCTCCCTCTATTTCCTGGATTACCTTACACAAATACACCTTCTTAATATACAATGCAATGGCTACCTCTCTATTTATTGAGTGTACTTAGCTTATCTATCTTTTTATTTTTGAATAAGATATACACGTCCAGAGCCATAGTCCAGTAATGGATTTCATCTTATCAAAGTTCAGTGATACCTATGAGGTCAAATCTGTCTCCTTGACTTATGACCTTTCTTTTGTATGTTGCCTAATTTTGAAGAATTTATGTATATAGTCTATACTATATGTCTTTATCAGGGGTGGGGAACCTGCAGCCTAGAGGGTGGGCCTCTAGGCCGCAGGTTCCCCACCCCTGGTCTGTACCATACTAAATGTCTATATTATAGACATTTGAGGCCATAGGTTTTACTGGTGGCTGCTTTTTAAAAATGTCTCCTGTATCCAGGTATCTCATCTGCTAGTTTTCTTCTTCCTTCTTTGAAATTATTCTCTGTAACTTGAGGTATATAGACAGTCTTCCCTCCTCCATCCTTTTTAATTTAAGGGCCTTTTTGTTTGGATTTGCAAGATATCTGGCAAGTACAATATTACCAGGAAATCTACATTTTTTTCTTGATTTGATTTGATTTTATTTTTTGGCAATTGGGGTTAAGTGACTTGCCCAAGGTCACACAGCTAGTAAGTATCAAGTGTTTGGTCTGAGACCGAATTTGAACTCAGGTCCTCCTGACTTCAGGGCCAGTGCTCTATCCACTGTACCACCGAGCTGCCCCTTCTTGATTTTTTTAAAAAAAGATTTATGCTTATTTACCTCAAAAAGGATCTGAACTCGCTATTTCTTGCTGTCACATTCATACTCCTGACTAACTCTAGTCAGTTAAGTTGAAATGCATTAGGGTTAGACTTCAGGGCATCGGTTTACTTTGACATTCTCTCTCTCTCTCTCTCTCTCTCTCTCTCTCTCTCTCTCTCTCTCTCCTGTGAAGGAAATATTTCATATTTTCGGTTACAGAAAATAGATCCAAAACAGGGTCACTAGGCAATAATAAAAATTAGACAAGCAATAGATAGCAAAATATTTTGTGGTTATAGAAAATTCCCCACCCACCAAATCATATGTTAATTGGGAGTAATACTAAACAAGGCAAAACCTCAGCAAATTTAAAGTAGTTTGACATTTTAATATGTATCTAGGTTGCATGTGGAAAGGGTTAATAGAATTCTGGACCTGCAGTCAGGAAGGCCCAAGTTCAAATCCAGCCTCAGACACTTACTAGCTGTTTGATTTGGGGCAAGTCACTTAACATCTCTCAACCTCAGTTTCCTCATCAGTAAAATGGGGATAATATTAGCACCTACTTTACAAGGCTGTTACAAAGATAAAATGAGATAACGTGAGTAAAGTACTTTTCAAACCTCAGAGTGATATATAAGTGGTAGCTATCATCATTATCATTAATGCTTATGTTTATTCTTGGGACAATGGGATTTAGACATATTGACACAAGCTTTATGCTATCTAGATGAGCTGGTGGCAATTTGGGATGGTAGTAGGGAAGGATGGGATAAGTTCGTTCATTCATTCATTCATTTATTCATTCATATTGAACAAATTCATGTTATGGGAAAGTCACTACTCTAGGTGCTGTTAGGGGATAGAAAGAAGCTTTAGAAATGTTACCAGCTCTCAGGAAGGAACACATGGAATGAACATGACTTGTTAACAAGAAAAGATATTTAACATTATGATACATTAAGGTACAAAGGAGTGGACAGGAAATGACTGGTGAAAAGAGGACAGAATCACAGGGTCTGGCATCAGAAGGAAGCTTAGAATGTAGAACATGGAAGATTAAACTTGGAAGGGACTGTAGACCTCATCTAGTCTAATCCCTCATTTTACAAAGGAGGAAAATGAGACCCAGAATGGTTAAGTGACATAAGTGACTTGCCCAAGGTCATACATTTAACAGAGTTGGGATTCAATCCCAGGACCTCTGACTACAAATTCAATGTTTTTTTCTTTTTCCCAGTTATACTAGGATGAAAGTTGTTGGTTTCTGGGGAAAAAACTGGATTAAAAAACCTCAAAACATTAAGTGATTTTGAATAAAATGGGCCAGAGGTGCCTCTTTTATTTAGATTTCTGTTTTGGGCTATGTTTCTAGAAAGGGAAAGTACAATTTAGGAAAATTTTGTGGAAACACTCCAGGAAGCTATTGAATCTGATTTTAGGTAGTTGCTGGAATAACAGTTTTGATTGGTAACCAAGGACATGTATAGTTTGTTTGTACATCTATTGGAGAGGATGTGGTAGGAGAAGAGAATCACAAAAATGAAGGAAAATGGACGTAATCTCAAAGATACAGCATTTAGAGGAGAATTTAGCACTAATAAAATGATAGCACTTTAACTTCTGATAAGAAAAATTAGATAATAAAGAGAATTATTCTTTTCTACCTGGTTCCCCTCCAGCCCCTAAAAATAGCTATAATGACAACTACAGGCCATGCAAATGGAACATGACCTATAATTTTTCTGATTTTTAATAGTCATGGAACATTTCCATGAACATATTTATATAAATGGAAGCTTCAAGTCATACCAGCATTTCTTTTTTTTTTTTTTCTGAGGACAAATGGATATTTGTGTTGGATACAGGTCTCAGTCTTCTTGTGATCCAAATTCCAACTGCTATCAAAGGGAATTTTCTCTGGGGTTAGAATGAAATGAGTACAGTAAAACTGCAAAAGTATCTCAAACAGACTAGAATCTCTTTTGTTCTATAACATACAACCAATGTAGGAATTTGTAACTTTTTTGAGTAAGTGAAATTTCCCCAAAGGTTTCCTTAAATATTCAAACCTCACGGGGACTCTAGTACCCTATTTATGTAGCAAGACTGAAAGCAGAACATATCAGCTGTGAAGACTCTTTGCTTTTAGCTAACATTTTTAATTTTTGACTAGCTAGCCTCATGTTTGGAGATTGTTGTTTTATCTGTGAGTGCATCCAGGCAGAAAAAGTCAGAATGAGGCAAAGCTATTCCCCTGTGAATTCAACAGCACAAGTTCTACTTACCCCACCGTGATGTCAAAGATATTGCTTCCAACGGAGCTCGACACTGCCATATCCCCAAGTCCTTTCCGAGCCACTATGACACTGGTAATGAGGTCAGGGATAGAAGTCCCAGCAGCTAAGATGGTGAGGCCCATAATTTCTTCACTAATACCAATTGTTTCTCCTACCTAAATGTGATAATAATAATAACAGTAACAGTTTACATTTGAATAATGCTTTACAACATACCTCCCCATTGCTAATACTAGACAGAGAAGGTCAATTGTGCCCTCAGTCTGAAACTCAGTAACAAGAAGGAAAGTTTTGTAGACAGCTTGATCTCCATGACATAACTTAATGAGTTATAGCTAAAACTCAAAACCTATTATTTTGGATATATTCTCTCTGAGATTAGGGATGTATATCAAATACCTGTAATGTTTGTAAGGGCAATGGAGAGACACGTGGTGGGTTTGGGCAGGTTGTAACACATTATAAATAAGCAATTACTAAGGAAAAACAGTGTAAATGATGTAATTGAAAACATGTATGAGGGACAATGATGAAATGGTCACGTGTTGAGAATGACAGACAGCCTGTGTTTTCCATTAGTATTCTAGTGATACCAGGAGAAAATGAGGAAAATTCCCATCACATTAGGCAGTGAACTTATGAAGGAACATGAAGAAAAGGCACAAAGGATGGAAAGGAATAGAAGAGTTGAAATTTGCCTCATTTGAGAGAACGCCCTATAACGAAATGTTTACTAACAGGCTCTTTACCTCCACCCTCCCTGCAAAAAGTATCCACAACACACTTTTAAATGTAATCTGTCTTATTGACATTTTCTCCATCACTTTCAACAACAACAACATCACAATCAACGACAACAACAATAACAAAAACCCGATAGTATTTTCTGAATTCTGAGGCATAAATGCTCACACTGAAAACTTCACAATCAGCTCTCCTGAGCTGGTAAGAATTGGCTCCAGCACACTCTTGGAATACTCCCATTTGATTAGATTACAGACCCATTTGAATGCTGAGTATTTTATGGTTTATGATGTGTATATTGCAAAGCAAAATATAAATCATCTCATTTGATCCTCACAGCAATTCTGTGAAGTAGTCAGTGTAACTATTATTACCCCAATTTTACAAGTGAAGACATATATCTGCCCACCAAATTCTATGAGAATTGAGAATGATCTCAATTAAGGTAGGACTACAATAAGTGAAACATGATTGAGTATATTAATATTTATGTTTGTGTTATTACTAAGGTGGGGCAAGTGTCTTTCTGGTTCAGGCCTCTTGCTGCCACTATAAGAGAGAAACTTTTTGCCACCACTAAGATAAGAAGAAGACATTGCCTCAGACTTTATTTTGAGCTTCTAGACATTGGAAGCTTGAGGGTCAGAAGCAAAAGTTCCTATGTTGACTATTTGGCAGGTATCCTTATCTGCTGCCTTCTTTTACTTGTTTCCAGACATATATACCCTTATCTTCTCCTCCTGCTCTCTGTAAAATTCCATTTTTCTATGCTGCTTAAATATTCACATTCTATATCAGGTTGCTGAAGCTGATGCTTTGGGCTTTCTGACTTTTTTCCCAAAGATGAGCCTGTGCTCTGAGCATAATAAAACTCTGCAGATAACTATCTCTGCATCATTGATTTGGTGATTGACAGCAGTACCTAATCAATGCACCCTTGGGTAATTTTTATCTGAAAGGAGACAATAAGATTTGGAAATGTGCACATGAGCGTTGTGCCACCTAGATGTGCTGGTGGTGGGCAAGAAAGATGATTAGAGTTATATCTGAAAGACACCTTAGAGATCATTTTGACTCCTTTGTAGATTTTGTTTTTATAGATAAGGAACTTTAGGCCCATAAAGTTTCAGTGACTTAGGCAGAGATAGTAAGTGGTAAAATAGTAAGCAAGGTTTTGAACCTAGATCCTTTGATTCTAAATCAGTGCTTTCCCCTCTATACCAGGAAAGAATCTCAGAGAGATTATTTCTAAAATGATGGGTTTTGAGTTATTAGTTATAACTCATTAGGTGGATCTGTAAGGATTATCCTTTTCAAGTGGAATAGCTAGTGAATGGCAGAGCTAGGTTTCAAATCCATGTACTTTGAGGCCAAATCTTTGCTTGTCCTCTCCTTGAGAATAGGGATTTAAATTTTTTTTAATTAAAAAAAATTTTTTTTAAACTTTTTTTGTATCTCTAGTGCTTAGCTCAGTGTCACATAGTAGGTGCTTAATAAACACTTGTTGACTTGACTCGACAAGCAAGAGCATATAAAGCATATAAAAGCATATAAAACTTGCATTTCACATGGCCAGCCATTTGAGAAGGACGATCTTTTTAGATATGTGGGTTTGGTGTAGGGACTTCCCAGGTGAGGCAACTCTTTCTATTAATGCAGGCCAGCACCTCTTATGAAACTTATAGCTTGAGGTGAGTTGTCTGGAGCACTGAGAGGGTTAGCGACCTGCTCATGGTTACATAGTTAGTATGTGACAGAGGCAGGTTTGGAACCCAGGTCCTCTTGGCTTTGAGGCCAGCCCTCTATCCATTTTTGTTATGCTGCTTCTACTTCAGACCCAGTAGATTGGGAAAATTCAAATGTTTGAAAGTTTTCAGGCAAAAAAGAAGTGTTATTGAGATTAATATAGTGTCTCCTCCAGTGTTCCATAAGACAAAACAGAGAAAGCAGTTTCAGAATCTCAAAATTGGAAGTGACCTCAGAGGTGATCTCTTCTAAACCCTAGACAAGAATCTCCTCTATTATCCCCATAAAGTGGTCACTAAAATTCCAGATAAAGGGGGAATATGCCATCTCCCAACACAGCCCATTCCATTTTTGGATGGCTCTTGCTCCAAGGTTCTTTACAGAGAATCTAAATCTGTCTCTTTGAGACAAGCAATGAGAATATAATACCAGTCTGAAACTTTCAGTAACACTAAGAAAAGTTCTGTTGAAAACTTCGTCTTATGATGTCAACTGCCAAAGCCAGAGGTGTACCTCAAACATCACTAATTTCTTTGAATAATTCCTTATAAAACAATCTTTCATGAATTTACCAAACCCTTTCTTGATTTTTCATATATATATATATATACATATATATATACACATATATATGTAATATAAATGTGTATATATAACAATTCATCTGGAAACTTATTTTTTTAGAATTGAAATAATATTTTATTTCTTCATCAGTTACATGTAAAAACAATTTTTAACATTCATTTAAAAAATTTTAGGGGGCAGCTAGGTGGTACAGTGGATAGAGCGCTGGCCCTAGAGTCAGGAGGACTGAGTTCAAATCCAGTCTTAGACCAGACCTTGAAGCTTACTAGCGGTGTGATCCTGGGCAAGTCATTTAACCCCAAATGCTTCACCAAAAGAAAATTTTTTTTTGAGTTACAAATTTTCTCTCTCTTTCCTTTGCCTCTCTCTTCCCTGACACGGTAAGCAATTTGATATAGGTTAAACATGTTCAAACATGCAAAACACATTACTATATTAGCCATGTTGTGAAATAAAACATAGATCCAAAGGAAAAAAAACACAAAAATATGCAGAAAATGAAAAATAGTATGCTTCAATTTGCATTTAGACTCCATCAGTTCTTTCTTTGGAGGTAGATAGCATTTTTCATCATGAGTCCTTTGGAATTGTCTTGGATCATTGTATTGCTAAGTCATTCTCAGTCGATCATTGTGCAGTATTGCTGTTACTACGTACAGTGTTCTGGTTCTGCTCATTTCACTTTGCATCACTTCGTATATTTTCCCAGGTTTTTTTGAATTTTCAGATACCTTCAGCCTACACTCATATAAATACTTCAGCTTTTCCTCTCCAGGCTACTGAACTTCCTCTACCATGCCCCATCTCCTCATCCTGAAGCCTCCCTCTAGCCCTAGAATTCATGCATTGAAAGTACCCTCTGCCCCTTCAGTGAATAGTTCCACCTAGAATTTCCATTTAAGAAGGGTGCCCAGCTAGCCATGTCTCATTCCTCTCTTAGGTTATTGCACAGTAATACTGAAAATCACATTCTTTAGGCTAACAACATTTAAGGGAGCAGATAAATATACTTCTAGCCCAGTACCCTCTGAGGAGAGCAGAGTGGGAGTCTTCCTGCTTTCTCTCTTGCAGAGAATAAAATCTTCCTTGGAGAAGGATGGGTAGAGAAGAAGCTAGGTATCTATTTTGCCTTCTTTTGAACCATACAACGATATTCCCATGCCATGGGGAATAGGGTAGCCCTTGATACATTATCAGTAAAATGACAGATTTGTTTTATTCATGATCCTTGATCATTTTACTTACTTTCCTTTTGGCCTTTTTCATCTACATTATATTTTCTTGAGGAGTGGTGACTATCATTGCATGCAATGTTTTAGGTGAGGAGAATAATTTATAGCTGTCATTTTCAAGGTGCTTTACAAAACCCTTCACAACCACCCCATGAGGTAAGTAGATAAATGCAGTTTTTATAGAAGGGCAGAATAACATTTTATATTGTGTTTTCAGTATCTTACTTAATGACTACCAGTGTTTCGTGAAGCAGAACATTAGCCCAATATCACCAAGGAACAGATTATAATCATTCATAGATTCATTTCATGAGTCATATCTAATAGCTTAGAACCCATCCTTAAAACACTTCGGACTGTTAATCTTTATTTGCATTCCTTTAACTTCTGGCATTAAAATTAATTTGCCATATTTTCCTGGCACTCCTACAACCTTGTACTTAAAAAAAGAATCAGGTTGTCATTTTGCTGATGCAAGAATGCAATTACATCAACGAACTTGGGGTTTTTGCTAAGTATTCCCTCTTCCAAGATCACTTGTGAAACTTTTTAATCAGATTTCTTCATCCAGGGAATTATCCACTTATCTCCACCATTTCATTTATGGGTCTAAAACTCAAGGACTACATTTTCTTCTTGTGTCTTCTCTTGCATCTCACACAGTTCCTTGCACAAAGAAGGCGCTCAGTAGATGGTTGTTGAATGAATAAATTAGATCAATTTTGGACAAGTCAAAGTTTTAGATTTTGACTGGACTGAGCCAGTGCTTTGAGAAAATAGATGAAGAAACCAAAGAATTGCAGACTGTTAGGCCTAGCAGGCACCTTAGACACAATCTAGAATAGCTC